TTGGCTTCCAGCCTTGCAGTATCCAGAATTATGTGGCAAGATTGGCATGGTGAGGCCAGGAGGCCAGATGGCAGCTGTGGCCATTTCAGCCCTTTTTGGTCTCAGTGCGGGATCTTCAGCATCTGCAGAGCCTGGCCTCTCAAGAGGATCTTCAGACCAGGTAGAGCTGAACCCTGGTGCGGCTGCTGGCCTCAGGGGGCCATGGGAGCAGCCCACAGAGATCCTGCCCCGTACGCACAGACCTTGGGTGTTTTCAGAGCCTGATGGGTGCTGCCTCAAAGTCAAGAATGCTTTACCTCGCAGGGCAGCCAACTGTCCTTTCCTGTTCTCTCCCTGTCTTGCGTGCTCGTAACAATGAAGATCATTCTTGGTGAAGATACAAGTTTAGAGATCCTTGCCTCTCTCTTTTCAAACCTTCTATATTAAGTTCCTGAGTACTTGCTTTGTAAATTGCACATAGTAGATGTAAAACGAGCTCACATTACGCATCAGTATATATAACTGTCCTTACCAAATTGAATGAAAAAGGAGCATGTGCAAAAAAATTTATAAATGGATGTCAAGATGTTATGTAAGAGATTAGTGTAATTGTGAAATGTTCTATACATTATCACATATATAAAGCTATATATATTGAGTGTACATTATATAGATTATTCATATGTGTGCATAAAAGTTTAAAAATAAAGGGAATTGACTGTTTGCTCATAAAAAGAAAAGAATTTGTTCCATGATAGTTGAGTATAAGAAATGTCTTATTTTTCTTATTTTTAGGATATGCTTGGGCTCAGCTTTTACCCACCATAGTTGATAAGAAATTCCTTTTCAGCCTGTTTTCACAGAGCTCCAGTCCCTTCTCTCAGGGATGCACAGAAACCTCAGGGCCTGACAGACCAGAGATCAGGGGAAGGACCTCTGATCTGTATTCGCCGACTGCTCCCAGTGCTCTGGCCCATGGCCACGAGGTTTGCTTGTGGGCAGCTGTCCTCACTCTCGTGTGTGACAGGCTTGGACACAGAGTTATCGCTGAGGCTCTAGAGTCTCCCAGGCCTACCGTGCAGTCACCCCATATTCCTCAGCACTTTGAAAGCTCTAAACATCCTCTCCCTTCCCTCCACTTCCCAGTCTCAAGGTCGGGCCTTGCCTCTCTTTCTGTTTCAAAGCACTGTCTTACTCTACCGTCATCCTTCCCCTCACTCCCACCCTCGGGAAGATCCAAGTTAATTTCTTTTGGGGCCAAACCTTTCCATTAAGGTGGTCAGTTTTTGTCAGTGCAGTTCATGGAGAAAGGGAGGAGATTTTAAAAATAGTTCCTAATTTCAGAGTTTCCTAAAGTATGGTGTCTGGACACCAAAATCACGTGGGGAGCTTAAAGATACAGGAGTAGGAATAGGAACTGGGTTCAGACTTTGTTGCAAGCTCTCCAGAGTGTGAGAACCCTGGTCTGGTTCTTGGAATACAAAGATGCATCTGTTCTTGTGTTGGACATGGGAAATTGCCTTTTTATTCTTTCTCCTACAACAATTAAAAAGTCAGATATTTATATCTTTGTAGACAGAATTACAGGAATCATCTTTTGCAATTTATCTCTGTATACACAAGTAGAATGTGTTTAGCCCATGCCCTGAAATGGAAGGGGATCAAGAGTTGAGAGAATTTAGAGAAGAGAGTCATTTCCCAGAGGGTGTTGGGTGCCTGAATGAAGAAGGGAGGGCACATGGGTGACAGAAAGATCAAGTGCAGCAGTACACCCACCTGAAAACACTTGTTTGGCTGACGCGCAAGATTCGTGCTTTGGCAGGGCAGATCCTCCATATCATACCCCAAGTCCTGGGGCTAGCTGGGCTTCTGAGTGTTGTTTTTTAGAACGTATTTAACACATACCGAGCCTCCACCCCACCCAGGTAAGCACACCTTAAGCAAACACATCACTGAAAATCGAGTCAGCAGCAGGTTGTGAATGTATAAGGACATAAATTCTAGAGTGGAGAGCGATGGCTACTATTTGGAAAGAGAGGAAAATGGCATTGAGGGTTTAATTTATAAACTGTAATGAAATTCTCTTCATTGTATTAAATAGATTTTGTTATAGAAATCCTCGTTATCTTCAATATCAGAAAAGTCCACAAACACATTTTGACATTTTCATAATAATCATGAAAGAAAAGTCTGATTGGAATATTCTCTTGAAAATGAAACTCAAAAGTATTTAAAAATACTTATTTTAATTTTACAGTTAACAAAATTTAAATCATAGTTGCAACCATGAGCCAGTTCTTAGACAAAATAAAACTCATGTCTTAATGAGTTATGGGGGAAGTGAGGTCATTATTTTTCCAAGTATCATGTTCATTTATTCAGCAAATACTAAGCATCTCTTACATGCCCATCACAGCTTTAAGCAGTAAGATACAGTAATCAGCAACCAAATTCCTGTCCTCATGGGTCTTATTTTTCTAGTGAAAGAAAAAACTATAAATAAATGTACATATAAAGACCGAAGAAAAATAGAGCAAGATAAGGTGATAGAGTTGTGTCTTCAGTGGTGCAGTGGTGCTTGGAGATTAGTCTTTCTCTTCACAGTTGACTTCACAGCATGATTTTAAGACAGTAGTCAAGGGGCACATCAGTTTTTCCAAGATCCTCTCACTTCTTTTCAGAGTACTTTGAAGGGCTTATGTCTCTACCTTTCATCCCTTCTCAGTAGATAATTCTGCAAAGTCTTTGTCAGTGGTTTTATGTGACCAGTTTTCCGACAATACTTCCACTAAATTCTCATCTTTTGCAAAATTGTTTTTGCATTTTCTGGCAGTCTGTGCGTAAGGACTGCCCAGTTCACGCGTATTGCCCCATGCAATTTTTATTGGCAACCCCCTGCACTCTCAGCAAGTCTTAGTTCGGACTGGCAGTGGGTGGGGTGTTAAGTAGGGCTAGGTGTTTCTGCGTGGTCGATCCATTCGTAAACATTTTTATATTACGACTTTTGCTTTCCTAGGAAACTCTGTAACTGTAAAGACTTAGATGATAACCATTCAACAGAATAGGACCTCATTTAGAGTAATGCCAGTTAGGCTACATGTGTGCCAGCCACACTGGCAGCCAGTTCACACAGGTTCCTTATGGTTTTAAACTGCACACGAACATGGTGTGGCCCTGCTTCCCCAAGCACTGGGGGAGCTGCCCTGAAGAGGAGACACGTGGACGCCTGAGAGGTCCTCAGGAGGTGCCATTGGCATCCAAACTTTTTGACGTCCCATAATAAAAGCATATTCTGGGTTTCTTTTAAGTGTGAACACTGAGAACATACCAATGTTTTAAGAGATTAAACTATAAACAACTGAATGGACTAGAATGTTTCCTCCCTCTTTATGAAATATAACCTGTACTATTCATTCCTCAAGACTTAATAACTTTGTTTATATAATTGTCCTTCCAGTCTTATTAAAATGCTTTAAGGTAAGGATAACCATATTCCCAAGGAGCCTTCTTATTTGAGATGTGTTACTGTAAGAAATAAAGGAAAAGCAAAGCATGTGGCTTTCTTCTTATCTAGGATGTGAAACCCATACTATTTTTGTATTTCTGATTATAAATGGTTGCCAGAGGAAGGATGCAAAATCTTCAGATTCTGTGCCCTATAATATTCTGTGGCCCCAAGAGGCGCTGTTGGAACTTTATTTATGGAATATCAAAAGGAAAGTAAGACCATTAAAAAGGCAAATAGAGGAAACCTCTTCTGCCTCTTGTGAGCCTGGCTGTTAAAGAGAGCAAAGCATTGAATGTTACTGTGCTGGCGCCTGGGCGCGGCCCCTCTGGCATTACCACAGGATGGGTGTTGCTTCCTGGCTGGGTGGGGGGTTGGGTGGAATTAGGAAAAATCAATTACTTCTCTGATGGTCATACTGTCTTGAAACACTTATCACCTCATTCAATAATTGTTTTGCCTATAGTATCATTCCCTCTCCAAGGAGAGCTGTGTTCCCCTAAAAAAAAGCAGGGAGTACACCATAATAGCCGGCTGCAACTGCCTGTGTCATAGGTAATAATAAGGACACAATCGTCATACTTAGTAAAAATCCTGCGGTGTACATTTTTTTCATATTCTAATATCTCTGAAATCAAGATGAATCGGTCAATGATTTTAAAAGCATGTTGTCACAGTTTAATTGGCAGTATGTTTTCTTAACAGTAGAAAAAATAATGCCTCAGTGGTTTTGGTTAACTACTAGGATTTTTATATTCTTGATATAAAGATGGTTAACTGTATAATGAAATTATTTAAGTTCCAACTGATGTTGATTGTCAGGTGATATTCAATATGGTAAAATTTGAGATGTGGTTTAAAAAAAAATGACATTATCTTAAAGTACGTAAACACTGAGCACATAAAGGTCGGAGTAACGAAGGTACAAGGTGAGGCGATGCCCACCTCACCATAGATCAAGAGTTAATTTGAAACAAACCTGGAGAGTATTTTGTCTGGATGAAGGCCCAAGGAGGGAGCAAGTAAATTCACTTGCCTTTCATTAGTCAGAGAGGTCTTCAAGATCAGCCCATAAGAGCTCAATATAATGTCATGAGCAAAGGGGCACTAAAAGAAGTTGTCGAAGCCTCGGGATACGTAAGTCCTCACTTAATGTCATCGATGGGTTCTGTGACTTGAAGCATAATGACATATAACAAAACCAATTTTACCATAGCCTAATTGATACAAACAAGAGTTTAGTCCCTGTGGCACCTCATCAACATTATAAGGAAACAACATTGAATGAACATTATCGGAGGCCCTGCTGTATTTCTTTTGGATTGGCAGTTAAATGAGAAAAAAAATCCAAGGGGATGGGGCGCTCAATTTTTTTGGCCACTCAGGTGAAAAAAAAATTACATTAATCTCTTTAAAATAAAAGTGTTTTCTCATATTAGATACTGAACCAAGAAGACTGAGTTAATGGTGCTGTTTTGTAACCTACCTAATCACACTACCTGTTTTTCTGTTGCAGATTGCCTTCTCCCAGCACAGCAATTTTATGGACCTGGTACAGTTCTTTGTGACTTTCTTCAGGTAATTTCACTCATACAAACTATATCTGTTCTTTTGATTCAAGCACTTAATTCCATTAATCATCTGTTCATAAAAGATAAATGAATATCCTGAGTTTGCCCAACAGATCAAACTAATGGTGTTTATGTTCCTGAAAAGTTACATGTCAGTATCAATAGTGTAAGTTCAGCCTCATCTGGTAAAATGAAAACATTTGCTTTGTATGTTCTGGCTTTTTTGAGGCAGCTTTTCATGTACCGTATATTAAAATGTAAATAATTTGGCTCTTCATATGGGGAGAATTTGGGGTTGAAACAACAATTTATAATGATTACTGGTAAGTGTTACATATATACTTCCTGTTCAAGAAATGATTCAGGGGATTAGCTACAGTTTTAAAGGTAGAATGACTTGTTAAGCCCTTAGGATTTTTTTATTACAGTTGTTGGGTTGGGTTTTTTTTCAGTTTAATTTTACTTTAATGAAAATACTATACACGTGTGTTGGAAAAGACCGGCGCTGTCGTGCTAATGAGAGGAAACCCGCAGCATCCTGTCCCCTGTCTTCCCACCCCTCCCTTCTTCCCAGTTTAAATGGTTTTAGCTATTTTTACTCATCCAGGCTTACATTGTTTCGTGATTTTTCAGTTCAGTTATCTTTTGAGATCCTACTATAGAAGATAAGGATTTATTATTTGATGTTACCTCACCCAACAACTCCCCACACCACAGGAACATATAAAATCCCCTTCCTCCCATTCATTTAATATAGTTGCATCACAGTGCTTGGCGAGACCAGTCATCCCTGTTTCTGTTAGGACTGTAAAATTCCTAGTCACAGCTGAATTGAACTGTGATTATAGTTCCTCAGTTTTTTGGATGGGAGATCACTGTTTGCTTCTTCTGAATGTAATATTTGCCATATTTTGTTTTTTTAATTGTTTGGTTTTCTATGTAGCTACCTCTGATTCATCCTGTACTCTAACAGAGCTGAAAAATCTCTCAGTTTGGTCAAACACAAGCAGGTCTCCTCTTGGTTTTAGTTTCTCTCGGAGATGTCTGCCCTAGAGCCCTGCAGCCTACTGCTCCTAAGTGCACTACTTTTTGAGGCCTAAAGCCCAGCTGTCATCTTGGGCATTTCTTTTGCCTTCCGCTTACATTGAAATCTCTGTTTCCCAGATCTTATGTCTTCATTTCCCTATTTACTACCTCCTTTTAAGCCTCCTGGAGCACATTCTCCAAGAGGTTTCTGAGAAAAGGTGCAGAGGAGGTAACTTTCCTGTGACCTTTCTATCTGAAAAAATCTTAATTTCACCCCCACAGTTGATTGAAAGATCAACTGGATATAGAATTTGAGGTTGGAATGATTTTCCATTAGAATTTGGAAGGCATTATGCTGTTTCTTCTGTTTTCCAGCAATATGAAATGCTGGAAATTTGATGGAACTTCTTCCCATTTACAAGGAAGTCTCTCCCTCCCTCCCACAGAAGGAAACTGTCCTTTCTGTTACCACAGAAAATTCCAAGACTCTTCCCACCCCGCCCGACATTTTTTTTATTCCGCTTAGTGCCAGACAGCCAGGCACTCTGGAACCAGCCATCTTCCACATTTCCTCCAGTGTGGAGCCAAAGAATCATTCTATATTCTGGCAAATTCAGTATTTCATGAATCGTTGCCCTATGACTTTCACCTAATTATGAGTCCCTCTAAGGTCATGGTCATTTCCTTCCTTTTCTGGCTGAGTGAGCAGCAGAGCCTGGAGGGGTAGTGACCTTAGTCCAGTTTTCTGCATTTGTCTAAAGATACCTACCTGTCCACTGACCTGTCGTATTCTTACTCCTTCAAAACACAATCTAATTGTCTACTGTGTGAAGAGTTCTCCTGAGTCATTTACCCCAGAGACCACCCCTTCTTAGACTGTGCCCTATTCATGTTTTCATTATAGCACTTTATCTCCCTTTAATACAGGTATTTACCAATCGAAAGCTTAGGGGCAGACCATAAACAGGCAAACCTGCAATTTGACATGTAGAGATGAACAGGGCCAATTAGAGGTCTCTCCTACAAGTTTTACATTGGATTCTGACAGTTTGAAACACTTATCTCATGAATCTCAGCCATGACTATCCTTAGAACTGCCTGAGAAGCTCTTTTTAAAAAAAAAAAAAGCAGCAGCAGCAACAGCAGCCCAGATGCTGACTTAATTGGTCTGGTATGGGGCCTGATCATTCTGATGTTTGAAGGCTCTCTCGTGATTCTCGTGATTCAGTTGGGATTGAGAAACCCTGAATGAGCTGTAAGTGGTGTGACTTCAGTGTCTGGGGAGTAGTCCATTCATCCGTGCAAACTAAAGCATCGGCTGTCAGATGGGAAAGAAGGCTGTGTAACCGCTGCGGGATGTGACCGTGGCCTCAGCTCCTGGCAGCTCCGTGATTCCAGTTCCTGGAAGAGCTGGCTGCCGTGGGTCTCTGAGAGGGCCCCGTAATTATTCCTCACAACCATCCAGTGAACACTGAGGTAGCGGTTATCTGGGATTTAAATTCTAGATTGTAATTATTTTACATTGTATGGGAACTGTTTTTATAAGCTTTATCGGAGTATTTTCTTGCACCATTTTATGAATCTCTCTTCCCCTTTGTTGGATGTTGTTGTTGTGTGGAATTATATCCTGGGGTGATTCAGAAAAAAATCTGAGAAAGAATTTGATACTTGTTGGGGACCCTTTCAGTCCGATGACTAGAGTGTTGAGTTTTATAACATTGTCTTCTATTTCTTTGATTTTTTCCCTGTCCTCTAATTCTGTTTGCTTGGATGCTGGAATTCTCTGTTAGATGAATGAGGGAGATTCTGCATCTCTGCTCTGTATTTCTTAACTGAATTCTGATTTTCACTCTCAGTTTCCTTTTGCCCTCCTCAGCAAGATTTTCCAGCTTGTTAATTTAATCCAAAGTTGGATTCATTTCTTTTGTTGACTCCCTATAATGAGGTTTTTTAATGTTTTTTAATGCATTTTATTTCCAATACATTTTAAGTCTTTGTGCTATCAATAACCGTCTCCTCAGCTGTTTGGGTTGTTTTTTTTCCTTTGATTTGTTATTTGGTACTTCTCTTTCACACTGTTGGTTTTCCTCCAAATGTCTGATTTTTGGTTGTGTTGAAGATTCCACATTTGCCTGTGTGCAAGTGCTGTTTCTGTCTGTCACAGCCTCCAGTGCGTGGGGAGTAGGGGCAGAACATGCTGCTGGGTGGTATACACTGTTTGTCTGTCTTCTGAATGGGCTCCTCAGCCCCAGGACCAGAGCTCACTGCTTGGGCTGCTGTCTCCCATTGCTCAACACAGGCAAAAAACTAGGAGGAAGCCATCGCGTGTGGCCACCCTGGATGCTGCTCCCCCAACACTGCACTTCCTCAGAGCCCCCTTCCTTCTCATATCCATGGCTCTGAGCTGGGAGCCCTTTTTAACCTTTTACCCCTTTCCAACCTGGTTTCTATCCTCATACCCCAATTAAATTGTTGTTATTGAGAGCAACTAGCACATTTCTCTTGCCAAATTTAAAGATACCAAACGGACCACCCATCTGTGAGACTACTCTTGCCCTCTGAGATCCCATACGCCTCTGAGGCTGCTCTTTCTTGGCCTCCTTTCCTGAACAACCTTTTCTGTTCAACTTTGCATTGTTGATATCCTTCCAGAGCTCGACCCTGGCCGTCTTCCCACTCTGCGTTCTCTGATTGAGCTCCGCCATCCCCATCTTCAGCCTAACATGCTCAGAAGCTAACTTTCTGATCCTTCCTCACTGGTCGTCTCCACATCACTGATTGCAACGTGATTCTGCCAGTTCCACGCCCCTGCTCTTCCTTTACATCCAAAAGGCATTCCCTCACCGTATCCCAGCACTTCGAGCTTCAGTCCGCTCCACCTCCACTCTCACCCTCGTCCTAACCATCACAGTCTCACCTGACTATTTCAGATGATTCTGGCTTCTCTACAATCCACAAAAAGTCCAGAAGAGACCTTTAAAATCATTAGTTAGTTTGTCTACTTATCTCATATCCAGTGGGTTCCCATTGTACCTTATATAAATACCAGGGGACCTGACCGGGTGTCTCTGTTGGTTTAGCATCCTGTACTCCAGAAGCTTGTGGGTTTGATTCCTGGTGAGGGCATGTACCTGGGTTGTGGGGTTTGATCCTGATTGGGGCATGTACGGCAGGCAACTGATTGATGTTTCTTGCTCTCGCTCTTTCTCTCTCACCCTTCCTTCCTCTCACCCTTCCTTCCTCTCTAAAATCAATAAACATATCCTCAGGTGAATATTTAAATTTTTGTAATGAAATAAATACCAGGGTCCTCTCCATATTCATTTTACTTTTTTTTTTTTTCCTATCCTCACCCAAGGACATTTTTTTCATTGCTTTTAGAGAGAGAGGAAGGAAGGTTTATAGAGAAAGGAAGGGAGGGAGAAAGTGAGGGAGAAAAACATGGATGTGAGAGAAACATCAATTGGTTGCCTCTCATATGCACCCCAACCAGGGACCGAACCTACAACCTAGGCATGTATCCTGACTGGGAATCAAATCTGCAACTTTTTGGTCTGTGGGATTCACCCAACCAACAGAGCTACACAGGCCAGGGCCTCTCCATGTTCATTTTATGCTACTCCTCTGTTTTCCCCATACACTGTCACCTTCTATTTCTTCAAAAATGCCAAGCTTTTTCCCACATCACAGCATATGCACATGGTTTTCCTTCTTCCTAGAACATACTTCTCCCTACCCTTCACCTGTATACTTTTATTCATTGCTTGGTTTTTCCCAACAACAACCAATTGTCTGGCACCGACTGGGTGTCCCATAATGCATTTGGGTTCTGACACTCCTGGAGTTAGCGTAGACCCCCTGGCTGAAGGGCTCAGTATGACAAGACTGCCCCCACTTCGTACATCAACTACAAAAAGGGGGTTCCAGTGAACTACTCCCTCTTCGATATGAGTTTTCTAGAATGACTCACAGTGCTCAGGA